TTAAGGACATGATGGTTTCCAACAGGATTTTCTTAAATGATCTCCCTCTATCATAAAGTGACAAGCTCTGTGGATGTGGGGAAAGCAGTTGATGTGATATACCTTTACATTAGGAAGGCTTTTGACACTGTCCTGTGACATTCTCATTAACAAGCTAAGGAAATAAAGGGTAGATGAAAGTACTATATGGTGGCTGCACAACTTGTTGGATCATCATACTCAACGAGTAGTGATCAATGGCTCAATGTCTAGTTGGGGTCTGGAATCCAGTGGGGTTTCCCAGTGGTTTGTGCTGGGTCCAGTATTATTTAACATCATTAATGATTTGGATGATGAAATTGAGCGTACACTTTGCAAATTTACAGATGACACTGTTGAGGGGAGGAATTTCTACCCTGATCCCTTTGGTGCTGGGTGTGTTGTCATATTCCTTTTCATAGGGCGCATCTATACATGCAATCAATGCACCTGAATTTTCTGTTCACCCCTGTATGCATTTGAACGTGTGCCCATCAGGAGCAAATTTGATCCTGACAGGAGCAGTTCAGTCCAGGGCTGCTCCTGCTCTGCTCTGCCTCCCCACAGCAGCCAAGGGGAGCTCCAGGCTCCCTCGGGTGCCAGCCCTGGGCTCACAGCAGGCATAACAGCCAGTTTGGATCTCTGCAGGAAGGGGAAAGCTATCTTGGCTGGGATGAGGTCCAAACTCCATGTGGCTGGCAGGCAGCATCCTGCTGAGCCAGGACAGCTCTCCTTACTTTTATGGCCCACTACTGTTTAGGCTGACCAGAAGCAATTTGCTAGTGGTCAGCATCTACACATGAGTTTAGGCACATTAATGCACTGATTTCTAGTACCTGTATCTACAAGTACTAGAAACAGCATGTTAGACTAATCTACTGCATGGTAATTGCTGCACATGTGTAGATGGTGACGCTTTACTGTGTGTTAGATTAGTCTAATGTGTAGTAAAGTGTCTTGTGTAGATGCACCCTATATAAGCTGTTTCTAGAAGTGATTCAGTCTAAATCACATGAATTACAATAACTACTATGTAAAAGGGCAGATCTGTGAAGGACAGTTTCAGGTTAGTTGAGATGTACAGGCCAGTGACCATACCACACCAATGCTGATAAAAGGACCCCCCACCATGTAGCACATAGGGGCCTGTACACATCACAGGGTTTAATCCTCATTACATTAAATAGGTTTATAAAATTTAAACTTGTTTATTTTGGAGCGTCGCCTCAGTGTTTGCATGTACTAAGTTTTTTAATGAATTAAGCCCAGTCTCCAGCCAGCACCGCAGGAAAGTGGGACGGTCCCATGCTGCCCCCCCTCCCCCACGCCCTGCCATGCAGCTATGGGAACAGGGATCCAGCACATGGCACAAGAAAAAAAAGTGGCAGCAATTTGAAAGCAGCAGCAATTCGAAGGGGTGAACTACAAAAGAGTCGCAGTGCCACCTGGTGAACAAAAAGGTTCATTACATGTCTTTCAGTGCCACTTTGTTTGCATATAACTAATCCATGGACACAATGGTTTAATTCCCGGTAAGCCAAACTAAACTACATTTGAGGAGTTTTAGTTTTATGCACCAGAAAGACTTTTAAAGCATCCGGAAATCCTGTTCATGCAAACAGTCATGCTGTTGCAGCACAAGGGCAAAAAACCATGGTACATACAAACACCCATGAAGATCATTATCACATGACTCAGGGTGTCACTGATCCCTCATGACTTAGTCACAAGAAAGTTAGAGAGATGGACAGGGATATAGAAAAGTTTTGAATTGGGAAGTGTATAAAATGCCAAGATTCAGAAGTATGTATGTGGAATCTGGAATTTGCCTCACCTATGATGACAAATGTTGTGGACTTGAGATCGCACCACCTGAAAGTACATATAGCTGTATATTCTGCATTGTGGGCATGTCTACACGTGATGCTACATTGCCATAGTGACGTGCTACATTGACATAGCTCATCACTATGGCGATGTAGCATTGGCTGGCTCAAACTATGATACTGATGCTATGCCACCGTAGGGATGAGCTACCTCACTATAGTGTATCACCACGGCAACATAGCTGTTAAAAATAACTGTGGTGCTGGGATGGTGCAGTAACGGTTGTTAGTGAACACAAATTTGGTACACAACAATGACGGTTGTTACTACACCATCATTTAGTACTTCCTAAAGCAAGTACTAAATGACAGCTCAGTAACAACTACACTATGGGGGGGGCACATGTACATGCACCCTGTATGTAGTTGCTGTTGGTTCCTATGTGGTTGCTGTCTTCTTGCTAATATCCAAATAAATTGATGTATAGTTTGGAGAAATTTGCTTTGGCTCATCTTGGAGTAGTAGGCATCTCTCTGTGACAAGAGACAATAGAATTATGTTGATGTCATCAGTTTGCTGAATGTAATCCTTGCTTGAAAGATAACATGAAACTGGAGCAACTTTTCCAGGATGCAGAAGCCTGGGGAGTGTATATGGAGACACTGAGCTGCCCACACATGTGTTGCCTCTCTCAGCCTTGCTAGTTTAATCCAAAAGGAAAGGCAGGTGCAAGTATGCTTGGAATCAGCTTGGTTGCAGGAGATGCTGGACCAAAGATCATCCATTTGTCCATCTATCGGGGCTCCATTATTAGCCAGGGTTAAAGAGCCCAGTCTACCCTATCTAAGATTACCATATTTAAAAAAAGAGGACACCTGTGAGGAAGGGGGGAAGGGGTATATGATTGTGGGGTGGGGCAGTGATATGACCCATACCCCTCGCAGCCCTGCTAGTGCCCCGCATTCTCCACCAGCATCCCTCTACCCCCCCAGCCCTGCCGGTGTCCTGCACTCCCGACCCACAGCCCCCTGCTCCCTCCCTGCCCCCCTCCCAGCCCTGCTGGTGCCCCATACTTCTGACCCGCAGCTCCTGCTCCCTCCCAGCTCTGCTGCCCCAGCAGCTTGCGCGCGCGCACACACACACACACACCCCTGCCATTAGCTGCTGGGACCCAAGTGCAGAGCTTGTGATCCCCTGACAGCCAGTCAGATTCCCCCGCTGCCTACAGCCCCAAGCAAAAGCAGAGGCAAAACAAAAACCTGGACATCTGCTTGCATTTTAAAAACCCACCTGGACAGAGGACAAGTCTGGGAAAACCCGGACATACGGTAACCCTAGTAGTATCAGACTTGACTGATTTAGGTTAAATCAGTTTACTGAACTGTCCCAGTCCCCCTCCAGATTCAAGTTAACTCACAGTCCCCCAGCATCCCAGGATGCATTGCACCTCCCTCGCAAACCCCCCGCCCCGCTATCACAGGCTGGGCAGGCTAGCTTGGGCCCAAGCTGACTGCTCCAGCTGAGCAGGGAGGTGTGCTTTAGCACCCCATTGGCTTCTGGCCTGAGCCACAACAGGCATGTGGCTGCATTTCCATAATCAAAAGTGAATGACTATTCACTTGCTAATTGGCAATGAGCCAGGTTTTCCATTTGCTGTGGAAAAATGTAGATTTCCTCCTTTAAAGGAGAGAAACATGGGAAACAGTGGGTTTCCCCTGGCAGACTAGCAGAGTTCCAGCCTGCAAGGGGCTGCTTGGGGCTGGGGGCAGCTGGATGCAGAGGGTGCCATATGCAAGTGCTTGTGTACACATGCACGTGGCAGGCAGGCAGCATGGCGGAGAGTAGTTCCTATAGCTCCCTTCAGGTAAGTCTACGGGGGCAGGGGGAGCACAGGTGATGCAGTGGCAGGGCATGTGCCCCTCACCCTCTCCATTTCATCACCTATGCCCTCCTGCATCCCCATGCATCACCTGTA